AATATACTCGTACGCTGTTCAGGGTATAATGATATTTGAGCATCGTGTGCTAAGAATTAATCAAACGAAAAGAGTTATAAATTTCGTAGGTGTATATACATATGTATATCTGTATCTCTATGTATTTTAGCATTTTAAGTTTTTCCCAAATGTAGAAAAAATTTCAACCGAAAGTAAAAAAAAACAAAACAGATCATAAAGATAAGCGCAAGACTTTAGCTTCACAAGCGTCATCACTGCTATGCCATACGTTAATTAATTAAAATATAAAAGCGGCAGGTTGTTTTCTTGGAATCAGTGCTTGCGGTCAAATCAAATGAGCCTGACTACAGGATCCGTATATATAGTTTCACTTTAAGTTAACTGTATTTCTCAGGAAATGTTGCATGCCGGCATCAGGCTGAGCACCGTGCTCGCGATAGTCAGCGTGGTGCTGACGAATCCGCCACCAAGTAAGCTTTCTTGCAATAAAAAAGTTTTCAAATTAAATAAATTTGAAAAAAATAAAATAAAATTGTTTAGTTGACGTGCACGTACCGGTTAGACTTTCGAGCACCAGTCGTTTCCTAATGACCGGTTTAGGCATGCCGCTAACCAATGAGAATGTGCCCAGAGAAGAACTGGATCCGAATTATTGGCGCAACTCGGCGAATGAAGAGTTGCAGAAACGTCTCAACAACAAGCTAAATACCAACAAAGCCAAGAATGTCATCTTCTTCCTCGGTGATGGCATGTCTCTAACCACAGTGGCTGCGGCGCGTATACTTAACGGACAGCGTGAAGGTAAACCGGGCGAGGAATCACAACTGAGCTTTGAGAAATTTCCCTACACCGGTTTGAGCAGAGTGAGTAGTAGAAGAAAAATATTTTGTGTCTGATCTTAGTTTTAATGAGGTTATAAAACTCCGTAGACTTACTGTACTAACGCTCAAGTAGCCGATTCGGCTTGCACCTCGACTGCTTACCTCACAGGCGTTAAAACCAATATTCTGTTTTTGGGCCTTAGCCCAAATGTCGATTTCAATGACTGCAAAGCATCCATGGATCCAGCTAATGATCTTACATCTCTCTACGATTGGGCACAGGCCGCTGGTAAATCTACCGGTTTCATCACTACAACCACGTTGACACATGCCAGTCCCAGTGGCGGTTATGCGCACGTCTCGAATCGTTTGTGGGAATGTGATACCGATGTACGCACTTATCTCGGTGATGATTACACATCAGATTGCAATGATATTGCCACACAGCTGGTTACTGAAGAACC